GAGCAACATGGGCAAGCTCCAGTGCCAGTGCATAGTGGGCGATGGTTAGTGAATGGCAGTATCCCTGAGGGAGGCATGTAAAAGTATACTGCACCCCTTCCCAGGTAAAAGTAAAACAATCTTTGTCTGCTTCCTGCAAGGGAATCATGAAAAACATATCTTTTACATCAATAGTTGCTAAAATCTAGTGAACTTGTTCCTGTAGAGTTGCAATCAGCTTGTCTATGTTAGTTACTGCAGATGTAAGAGGACCTGTATTGGAATTTAATCACCAATAATCAATTGTTAATCACGTCTTCCTGATAGGTTTATGAACTGGTCACACTGGGGAGTTACAGGGTGAATGAGTTGGGATAATTATCCCTTGTACTCGCAGTTCCACTCTTACTGGAATGATCAACTCCCTGGCCCCTAACACGAAGGCATAGGGTTTCACATTAACAATTTTAGAAGGAGGAAGTGCAGGCGCTTGCTGTAAAAGTCTTACAGAGGCAGCTGGGAACCTCAATTTCCATCCTTTTCCTTTTGAATCCACCCAGGCTCGTCCCTTTAATTGGCCAAGTCCAGGACATTTGTGGGAAAATTTCCCCAAATCATAATAACCTCTTTTGCATTTTCATTCTCAGCTAACCAGCATTTACCTGAGTGGTCAGATGTGGCTTAGAGCATCCAAAATTATTTGTATATCAGATCTGTTTTTGTCAGGGTGAATGCCATCGCAATCAGTGGTATCAGCTCAGAGCACTGAGATCTGAGCACCTTTGTCTAGTAGAAATGTAACTGGAGTTTTAAGGGGGCCAAGGGGAAATGTAATCAACAAGTCTCCTTTACTATTTTCTGTGAGTTTCCTTAAGTGGACCCAGCCGTCACCCCCCACATCACTTACTGGGGGCAACACATGCAGTTTTCTGACCTAAAATCGATCAAGTTCTCTTCAGGGCCAGTAGGTGTTTGAGAAGCAATAATCACCATTTCGTTAGGTTTCAGTCCCACCTTCTCCCTGTCTCAGGAAGCCTGCCCAATTTTGGGGAATCCCTCTCTTTGTCTTTCCAGGCTTGAATGAGTTTTTCTAACATCATAGTACACATACCGTCTTGGGGAATCCCCTTTGAAATTCCCTCTGTCCATAGTGTGTATCTTTTATTATCAGGAGGTTGCCTCAGCTTCACTGGGGGCGGTCAGAAATTACACAAGCGCTTAGTATTTATCTCCCCACCTCTTTCCACTCTCCTAAGATCTGCTTTGGATTTTGTCTCTCCCTGACCGGTGAATGCCATCCATCTCCCGTAATTAATCAACTCCTGTGCTACTTATCCCTATGTCATATCCAGAGGACCACTCCTTCTCCAGGGTCGGGCTGTTCTCAAACAGTCTTGTAATTGCACTGCATATAATTTCAAGGCATCAGGCAGTCCCCTTATGAGAGGAAGCAATCTTTTGGTTCTGCCACGTATTGCATAGGAGAGCACTGTTGCAGAATCAGTGATCGGTCATGCATTAGCTGGAGTCATGCAGCCTTTTGTATGCTCTCCAGAATATTGCTGTTGGAGTCTTTATTGAGAAGGGGTCTCCCCTTTCCATAGTGTCTAATCCTCGAGCCCAATATGCTGCTTCTTGGGTTAGGGACCAGTGCTCTCTATTGTCATCGGTGGTTATAAATACTCGTGGTCCCCAATACCTTCTTGTCTCGTCCTCACTCAGCAAGATACAGCCACCTCTGGTAAGAGATACTCTCCATACATATCTAGTTTCCTTTTCTTGGAGTCCCTCGGAATATTCTTTCTGAATTTTAGCCAGATCAGTAGAGGAGTAGGGAGTAGTTCATGTGGTAACTTGTTGGGCCCCTCCCCAACAAGTCATCAACAGTACTGGTTTTAATCAATGGTCTCATAACAGCCTCTCACCACTCAAGGGAATATATTTCTTTTATATGCTCTATGCCTGTAAAAAGATATAACAACTTTGATTCTTTTCCCCCACCAGAATTTGCAACTATATTTTCTACAATGATATGGGAGCAAGTTTCATCTAATTGCTCCCTTAATATTTTCTCCTGCTCCAATGCCTCTGCTAAGTATGATAACCTTTGGTTAGACACTCACTCAGAAGCAATTTGGAAAGGCTTTTTGTGTTATTTTCTAAATGTCCCTGCAAAGCTTTCACCAGATCTTGAAAGGATTTTATTTCCTCCACTTCTGCCTTATGGGTCACATACTTAACAATTTGTGCTGACACCAGAGCAGCTCCCAAAACTGCACAGAACACTGCTTTTCCTTTTCCTAGTTTGAATCTCTGTTCTTTAGCTAGCGTAGAGATCCTGTCCATTACCACTTGCAGATCATGCCAATTGTTGTGGGTCCAAGTAATACCAGGGGGAGAGGTTGAGCATTAAAGGTCTCTAATTTCCCCAGGAGAAGGGTACAATCTACAATAAAGTCTCCCAGGGAGATCATAATGATCCTACAATCTGTCCTCTTAGGGAAACTGTAATGAACCTATAATCAGTCCTCCCACAGAAGCCGTAATGAGCCTACAAAGGTCCTTCCAGGGAGGCCCTAGCAAGTATACAACTATGGGAATCGGATCCTTTGTCATCCTTCAGAGGGCTGTCAACCTACCTTTTGCTTGACTCTTATCAGGGGCTACAGTGAATGCCTGGTCACAACTCTCACTTTAACAACAACAAGAGGATATTGTCAACTAAGCCAATAAAATATCATGACCCAGACTGGGAACCCAGAGAGTCACAATGGCTCTGTGATCCCCTCAAATTGAAGAATCATATAGGTTGGAAAAGACATTGAAGATCATATAGTCCAACCATAAGCCTAAAACTGACCATTCTCAACTACACCATATCCCTCAGCGCTATGTTAACCCAACTCTTAAACACCTCCAGGGATGGGGACTCCACCACCACACTGGGCAGCCCATTCCAATGTAATTCCATCAGCTTCTTGGGCACCAAAGTCAAGCTGACCAGCTTGTAATTTCCCAGATCACCCTTCCGAGCCTTCTTATAGATGGGCATCACATTGACTGATTTCCAATCAGTTGGGACCTCCCTGGTCAGCCAGGACTGCTGATAAATGATGGAAAGCGGCTTGGTGAGTACCCCAGCCAGCTCCTTCAGCACCCTCAGGCATATCCCATCAGGTCCCATAGACTTGTGTGTGTCTGTGTGATGCAGCAGGTCACTGACTGTCTCCTCCTGGATTGTGGGAGGGTTATTCTCCCAGTCTCTGTATTCTGGCTGAGGAGGCTGGATTCCCTCAGTACAACTAGTCTTGTTATTAAAGGCTGAGGCAAAGAAGGCATTAAGCACCTCAGCCTTTTCCTCATCATCACTTGTTACCTTGTTTCCTCCTGCATCTAGCAGGGGATGGAGGCTCTTCCTGGTCTTTCTTTTGCTGTTGACGTACTTATAGAAACATTTCTAGTTAACTTTGAATGCTGCAAGCAGATTAATTTCCAGCTGGGCTTTAGACCTCCTCATTTCCGCCCTGCATAGCCTCACAGCATCTTTGCAATTACTGAGTGGCTAGCCCCTTCTTCCAAAGGCTGTAAACTCCTTTTGTCGCTGAGCTGTAGCCAAAGCTCCCTTTTAGCCAGGGTGGTCTTCTCTGTTGCCAGCTTCTCTTACAGCAATCTTGGGACTGCCTGCTCCTGTGCCATTAAGACTTCCTTCCTAAAGACTGTCAGCCTTCCTGGACCCTTATACCCTTGAGTACCATCTCCCAAGCGATTCTTTCAGGCAGGTGCCTAAACAAGACAAAGTCAGCCCTTTAGAAGTCCAGGAAGTTCTGCTGCCCCCTCTCCTGGCCTCTCTTAGAGAACTCTCTTGTTTCATGATCACTGTGCCCTAGTCAGCCTCCAACTACCACATCCTCCACCAGTCCTTCTCTGTTCACAAAGAAGAGATCCAGCAGGGAACCTTCTCTGGTTGGTTCTCTCACCAACTGCATCAGTAAATTATCTGCCACACATTCCAGGAATCTCCAGGACTGGTCCTGCTCTGCAGTGTTGTATTTCCAGAAGATGTCTGGGAAGTTAAAGTCTCCCACAAGAACAACGGCAAGTGATCGTGAAATTTCTCCAAAGTGCCTATAGAATATTTCATCCACCTCTCTGTCCTGGGTGGGTGCCCTATAGTAGACTCCCACTACAATATCTGCCCCATTGGCATTCCCCTTGATTCTAACACAAAGACACTCCACTCTGTCTTTTATATAATTATGCTTAAAGCAATCATAACAGTCCCTGTTATTTAGCTGAAATTATTGTTAAACGATGCCAAATGACTGCTTAAAATGTTTTGCCTTCAGTAGAAGCAATTTAAAGTTGGAAAAGGTAATAACCAATGTGGCCCCATATATCTATATGAAAATATAAAGGAAAGAAAAGAAAAAGAAAGGTAAGAAAGAGTCTGAGAAATCTGCATCATTGCCCCTGGATCCAGCATTGTCTCAGGTCTGGTAATCTTGTGTGGTGTGTTGTTGCAGTAGGGGTAGAGCCCGGGTAACAAGCATACACATCAATATGATTTACAAACTTGTTCCAACTTTATCAGGCAACTGGCCAGTATATATAACATAAATGTAGTGCATGCAACAGCCACGCGCGCAATAACAACTCGTGATTGGTCCCTGAGCTCAGTTCATGCACCACAACTGACTCATCATTGGTGCAGCGTAAGCGTCCCACGAGGCAACTTTGTCTGAGGGCACTCCCCCCTTGTGGCTGCAGCATCCCGTTCTACACGTTGCTAACACTGTTGTTTACTCAGGGTTTTGCCTTATACGGCTTCAAAGGTGACTTCAAGGACAACTGCAGTTCAGCAAGCCAGTCAGGATTGTCCAACTTGTCTAGCAATACTGTATGACTATTTTCCTTCATAATTCCCCTTTTCTTTTTGGACAATTCAGACTTGTTTGGTTATTTTAAGAATGCACCGCTTAATGTAAGAACAATGTTTTCAGAACACAGGAACTTGGGACCTTTTAAGACATTGAAGAAATAGGTTTATGAGGAGAGCCCATCTGAGTAAGTACTTTATCCAGCCATCGAAGGGGACCATGAAGATGTATTTCTATCCAGCATGGAGTGCTTGCTACATTTTGGCTATGATACTCAGCTCCCCAACCCTTTACTTATATGGAGGGTGCACATCTTAGTAAGCTCCTACACTGTCTCAAATCCATGATTAACTGATTGAGCCAACAGCTGAGCAAACTCTTGATTATTGAAAATTTTCAGACTGTAGCCACTGGGGATTTTGCAGACTGTGGTGGGATGGAACCCATGATGGTAGTTGCTGCTCCAACTTTGCACAAAAATACTGCTGTCGCTCAGACACTCAGCATACACCTCCCCACCAACATAATAGAGATGAGCACCTTTGCCAATATGCTGCCTAGTGTTCTCAATGGTGGAGTTGTGGTTAACATTCGAGAGCAGCCCCAAGCAGAATCTGTTCTTATTGTCTGAAGGATCAGTGAAGCCATCCACCAAGATGCTGGTGGAAGAAGCATGGAATACCTCCCCAATGCGATTATGCAGCTCATCGTAGACAATGGAGCACCAGTGCTTTGCCTCTTCATAAGTGACTGCCCGAACATCTCTTCTGTGTATGTCAGGGGGAATTGCGGGTGCCATCATGATGGTATCCATTAGCTGGGAGGTATCACGTGTCATCTGACCTGCCAGAGGCAGGTA